TCTGAATTCACCCGGCCTACCATGGAACGCATCTTAGCGGACCCAGCGCTGGAAGCGCAGCCCAATTTCGAGTCAGCAGCGTACGCGGGATGGCTCAATGCCCTTGTGGCAGGGGGCATAGCCAGAGAAGATGCACTCGAGCAAATGGCTGTGGGCTGGAGACTCGAGCGCCAGGAGCGCATCCTCCTTTGGCAGCAACAGAATGAGGAAGACGCCCGCACCTTGCAAGAACAGCTAGAGCGCGAGAGAGCCGAAAAAGAGGCTGAGGAACAGTTAGAGAGACGCGAAGCTGAGAAGAAAAAGCCCAAGATTAACGATTTTGATGATGGGGCTGTTGTCGCAGACGTTATCATACCTCGCCCATCCCAGTATGCCATCCAAAAGGTCAAGAACATGGAGTACGTAGAATTATGGTACTTCAGTCCTGACGGTTGCCACGAGGCTGCCACCACCTCTAGGTCCACATCAGACTCAGATGATGCTTTTGGCTTCGCCAAAGTGGATGGTATAGTCGCCCTCAAGACGATAGCGTCTTTCAAAGCTTCTCAGAAGGCTCTACAGGACCACGACCTATCTTGGCGGCAATTCGACCTCGCAAAGACCAGCTTTCTCGTTCACATCAAAAAGAACAATTGGCCGCAAAAGCATCAGCAGGCTTTAGCGTTATTTTTCACGCTCATTACCAACCATGAGCATCGCATGCGTCTGCGAGGAGAAAAGGCTCTGCTTCGCTACGCGGGATTTGTGCGCCGTGAATGGCATGATCGCTTAGCGCAAGACCAAGGGTTCAATATTGGTTTATTCAATAATGCCCTGTACAACTCGATATCCGACGATGTCTGGGAGGCCGAACGAGATGAAGGTCTCAAAATGGTGCGTAGCGCATTACCCACCAACATTCAATCACTGACCAAATTCTTTTATATATTCAATCTCACGTCGGAAACGAACCCCGCTGGCTGTCTAAATGCTTTCACTCTTGGCTGTCCTTGCTTTCGGGGTACAATTCCCCATCTGCTATCCATGTGCTATTGCATATATGACTTCGTCTTTTGTCTTCCGCTCTCCCTTGCTTGCGCTCTCTACGCTGTCGCTCCATCTACCCTCATGCTAACTCAAACTCCCGCTTTCACTGTGTCCCTCTCAAACACTTAACCACTGCTTCGCTTACACCCACACTGCTTTCGCACTTTCCTGTATACCATGGCTTAACAAAATCTTTGCTTTCATATAATTGTTCGAATCCTGGCTTACTCGAATCCTTTCATGCTCGCTCTATTGCACTCAGTTGCAACATTCGCTCGCAGTTCCCAACACTTCTTCCCGTTCTCGGGGGAGAGATGTGAGTTCCAGCCGAAGTGGGCACGCAGAGACAGTACCTCTTGTGAATGATGGCCGCTATCACCCATACCGCCCTGCTAACCAAATGGCAAAAAAACTGCAGAAGTTGCAGCAGTTTTTTCCAGCGGGCGCAGGCCAAACCAGCCCATCAGCCTGCGCCCTCTGCCTTGGCCGATTCCGTCACCCCATCCACAAATGTGCATCCGAGTTCCTATGGGACAAACGAACCAAAACTCGATGTCGTTGAAACGCAGAGGGTCATTTGGTCAATCCAGAGGGCCTCGAAATCTGCTACGACTGGCAGAGACCCAAGGGATGCACCAATCCCTCTCGAGCTCACGTGCACGAATGTTCAGGGTGCGGAGCAAAGGATCACGGAACTCAAGACTGTCCTCAAAGCGAGAGCATCTAATGCTATCACTCCCTATAGGCCCGAGGCCTGGCTGCAGCTTCTCATTTCGTCAAATCTCATACGTAAATATGCACATATTCCGAATGGTTTTCGCTTCGGTTTCATGGGCAGTGTCCCAACCATATCTCAAACTTATATCCCACCTAATAGCCCCTCGCTACATGCACATTTTGACGCTTTTGCTGCTATTCTGGACCGTGAATATTCCACTGGTCGTTATATCAGACCTATATCTAAATTGGAGACTGAAGAACTCATCGGTCCTTTCCAGACAGCCCCACTCTCCATGGTTCCTAAGCCAGGAAAGCCAGGAAAATTCCGCCTTGTACAAAACCTCTCGTTCCCGCTTCGTCCATCAGCCACTATATCATCCATTAATTCCTCTATCGACTCTAACTTATATCCGTGCACATGGGGTACAGCATCGACGATCTGTCTACTCATCTGGTCTCTCCCCCCAGGATCTCAGGCAGCCGTTCGTGACGTGGCCGAAGCCTACCGCACAGTACCTCTTCATCCTTCTCAATGGCCGGGCCTGGTTGTCAGGACAGGAGAAGACAGCTTCGCCATTGATTCTAGCTTTTGTTTCGGGTTCTCGGCATCAGCAGGAACCTATGGCGAGGTCGCAGATGCTGGCGCAGACATATTCCGATCACAAGGAATTGGCCTGATATCCAAATGGGTGGACGATCACCTATTCATTCGGATTCTGCGAGAGCACCTCACTAGCTACAATAACCTGCGCAAATCTCGTGCCGCTATCATTGCACGAAATGGTGGCATGCTCATTGAAGGAGGTCGAAAATGATATCGGGGTTCAACTATGCCTGACGACAGAATTGAAGAGTTTGATGAAGACTGTTCGTTTCCCATCATTGATCTCTCAACAGCCTCCCCACGATCCCCAGAAGATGCTCGCTTCACATTTTGCTTTGACGACATCAACCGCCTATCCAAAATTCTCGGAATACCCTGGGAGCTGGCAAAAGACATCCTTTTCTCGTCATGTGCCCCCTTTATTGGCTTCCTCTGGGACATCGAGTCGCGTTCTGTCTCGATCCCACAGAGCAAGAAGGAGAAGTACGTGGCAGCTATCAAAGAATGGGAGATTCGATCTTCACACACGCTACGGGAAGTCCAGGAGCTTTATGGGAAGCTCTTACATGCTTCTCTGGTCCTCCCAGCAGGAAGAGCTTACCTCGTTTCTCTCGAGACCATGCTATCCATTTTTCACGACCGTCCGCACATGCCTCGTTCCCCACCCCAAGCACACAGGTGATGACCTCCGGTGGTGGAAAGCCAGCCTCTCACAATCACTCAGTCTCTCGGCCAATCCCAGGGCCCGTCGAAGTCATTGACCCCTCGGCTTACTCAGACGCTAGCTCAGGCACTGGTATTGCGATTTGGATCAATGGCAGATGGCGAGCGTGGTGTCTCCTCCCAGGCTGGAAAGCTGAAGACAGAGACATTGGCTGGGCAGAGGCAGTCGGCATGGAATTCCTCATTATTGCACTCCTCGGTTTATGCCCAACGGGCAGCTGCATCAAGATATTCGGGGACAACCGGGGAGTCGTTGAAGGGTGGTGGAAAGGGCGTAGCCGCAACAGGGCCACCAATACCGTCTTCAAAAGGATCCACGAGCTCGCCGCATCTACGCAATGCACTTTCCTCACGTGCTATGTACCCAGCAACTACAACCCAGCGGATGGCCCATCCAGGGGAATCTACCCTCCCTCAGACCTTCTGCTTCCCCCAATTAGCATCCCCCAGCCACTCCAACCCTTCGTCACGGACTTTGACAATCCCGCTATCCCTTCTGAGTGCCATGCACGCAGTAAGAAACTCAAAGCGCTCCCACACGTCAATGACCGAGCCCGCTCACGAGAATCAGCTGAGCACCTCAATGACGAGCTCCGTCGTCAAGGAGAAGAGCTCTTTAAAGCGACGCAAGCTTAGTAAGTCAGCGAACATCACACTGCAGGCTTCCCCCTCATCAAGATTCTTAGTTGCAGCTTATCCTGCTAATCTCACCCCTTGTATTTCCGTCCTAAGACCCCATTGCACAGCAAAAGACAGGCTCCGTCTTTGGCGACCAGCCACAGACGACACATCGATATCTTGCCTCCCCCACGCAGATGCACAGCGCATTCAAGATGTCATGATCCACGCATGGGCTGGCAGCACCCAGGAGGCATATGGAAGCGGCATCCTCGCCTACCATGTTTATTGTGACTCGCACTCCATCAATGAAGCCATGCGTGCACCCGCATCTTCCGAACTCATTTCAGCTTTCATTTCAGACTTAGCTGGATCATATTCAGGGAAAACTATATCAAGTTATGTCCACGGTATTCGTGCATGGCATATTTTGCACGGAAAATCATGGTCCTTAGATGATGACAAAATAGATGCTATGCTGAAAGCGGCCAAGAACCTCACGCCCTCGTCATCAAGAAGGAAGAAAAGACCACCATACACCGTGGCTTTTATAACTAGCATCTTGCAGAAACTAGACCCCAACAACCCTCTCGATGCTGCAGTGGGTAGCTGTCTCACAACAGCCTTTTATTCAATGGCCAGAGCTGGAGAATTCACGATCCGAACTCTTTCATCATTTGATCCCTCCATTCACGTCAAACGCTCCGACATTCGTCACGAAACAGATCGCAATGGGCTCGCGACTACCGTTTTTCATTTACCCCGCACGAAAACATCACAAAACGGGGAGGACGTTTTCTGGGCGAAACAAGAGGGTCCCACTGATCCTGAGGCTGCATTATCCAACCATCTCAACATCAACAACCCCCACTTCGACATCGCACTCTTTTTCTATAAGTTCGGCGAGGCACACCGTCCTTTGACGAAAACAAAGTTCATTGCAAGGCTTGCTCGCGCTGCAAAGGATGCTGGCCTCGACCCATTGCAAGGCCACGCTATCAGAATAGGTGCTACCTTGGAATACCTCCTCCGAAACATCCCATTCAAGGTCGTCAAGACAATGGGAAGGTGGGCCAGTGATGCCTTCCAGATCTATCTCCGAGATCACGCTCAGATTCTCGCACCATACCTTCAAGCAACACCCGCCATTCAAGATGAATTCCTGCGGCACACAATGCCCCGCGTTCGGTAACGGCTTCTTCATGTAAGCATCCATTCTCCTCCTAGTCTTATGGGTATCTTCGGTTCGCTCGATGCGTCGTCGAACTCCTAGACAGTTGGGAACCGCAGCTCACCTTTTATCTGGCAGGACACGCAACTCGGGACCGGGAGGCGCTGCGCGCCTTCGCCCAAATCGCTCAGAATAGGATATATCAAGGATCATGGACATCGAATGTTCATAGCACGGTAGTAGAGGCAATATTAATTGAATTCTCCAAGCAGAACTGCTCCAAGTGACTTGCAAAGATTGATAGTCTATTATGTAACGAGGAACAAGTGTAGGAACAGAATTAAGTCTTTGCGCAAGCGTCGGAAGCAGTACGAACCTTCTGACTTCGTACTGTGACGTCGCGCCGTATCGTCTCAGTCGTCCTCAACGACAACGTTCTTCCTCCTTTTCTTTTCCCCACCCACCGCTCCCTTTTCAACACGCGATGGTTCGTGCCAACACTCAAGCATCGCTCATCGCTCTCCCTCTTTGGTGGTCCGGACTCCGCCTGATCCCTGTCATGAGTAGCTCGCGATGGTTTTCTTTTCCCTCCCACCCTCGCAGCTCACCTTTTATCTGGCAGGACACGCAACTCGGGACCGGGAGGCACTGCGCGCCTTCGCCCAAATCGCTCAGAATAGGATATATCGAGGATCGTGGACATTGAATGTTCATAGCACGGTAGTAGAGGCAATATTAATTGAATTCTCCAAGCAGAACTGCTCCAAGTGACTCGCAAAGATATGAAGTACATTGACAAGTGCCAGTGCTTAGAGATGAAGACCGAGGGAACTACTTTCAACTCAGACGACATCTTCTATGTGTATGATGTAAGCAAAAAACAAGGTGAAACAAGAGTCGTCGCATTCTCACCAAATCACTCACACACGTGCATAGAATACATCAAGTTCCATAAAAAATCAAGATCACTATCGCCCTTTCTAGAGCCGAAGTAAGGATCTACGTCTGGCATCGAACCCGTCTAAGTTGTAAATCAGATTGTCCCTTCCAGTGAGCACCCACCTGCAACTCCTCAAAAATCTCAGGTGTCACAGCATCATCGAGTCGAGTATAAAGTGCCATCCTCGAGGTTCCGAATCCTAGTGGTCGGAAAGGTATCTAGCTTTCTCTGATCTTAGGCCAGCATTCACGATGTGCTTTTAATAGGTTAACGTTGGCAAGACAGCGCTGATAAACCATGCATTTGGAGTGGAACCAGCGGTGGGCTGAACATGACGCTTCAACAAGCACAGCTACTCATATTCTCAATAGTTTGTTTTGCACGATAATATAGGCGAGGCTAGTATTGATCATGAGTTAAATCTCATCTCAGAACGACAGGTTTATTCTCCACGAAAGCAAGGGTTTTGAGGCCGGAAGTGCAGGCAGGCTCGAAATAGTCCGAGATTTCATTGAACATCGGAGGAACATGTCTCCGGAACATCAATTGCATGCTATTTGGTAGGGATTCTATCTTGGGTATCCCTTTATAGTGGACTGACCAAATATGGAAGGCTTTGCATTGAGATACCTCGTGCAGGCCAACGTTTGCATGAGGGGAAGAGAGGAATTCTTCAAGTTGAAAAGGAAGGGGACTCTGGGAAACGGTAAATGGATTTGATAACTGTATCTCTGCTATGGTAGAGCTCACACTTTGTCAAAGTTCCCCTTATCGTCGTTTTTACTAAATACGATATTCTCGTCGATCGTGTAGAGCGAACTCTAGATAAAACCTTTCTTGATGGCTTGAGCGACGAAGCCATCAAGGAACTCGTCAATAACAGAGCAGAAGCCGAGCTGCAAGATATCTGCATTCGACCTCTACAGAAATTTGCAGGGCCTGATATTCCCCATGTTACGATCTCTAGTGTGTATCAATACTCTGGCAGGTTCATGCATGCATCTAACATTGATATCGTAGCCAAAGAAGACTATAAAGGGACACTCACCAACCTCATCCAATTAACTGAATATTGTGCTGGTCAGTATCTTGCGTCCGAGGTCGCGATGATGACCCTCATCGCTCAGCGAGCGGACCTCGGACTCAAATACGGGCATCAATTGGGTGAGTTTTGCTAGCTTCATTCTTATCTCGTGATTTACGCAGTGTCAGGGTTGGCAAGAGAAGTCTGTCCTATTTTCGCGTTGATAATTATCGAGTACCATCTAAATCTTCATGTCTTGCAGGATATTGGAAGGTGCTTCTATCGTGCACAATATTCATGAAGCACAAGATATGGGAATGTCTACATGTGCTTCACACCGACATCGTCGAAGTGTGGAACTTCAATGATGCTCATCGTGTAATCACTATCTCACTCGTCGTCCTCGCATCCGTCCTAACGTGATTTGTGATAGTACTTGCACAGCGAAGCCTTCAGGACAGTGATGATGAAAATGGTCGAAGTTGGACCTACAAGAACATATCGACACTTCTCCCTCGACGGCTCGGTGCTCCAGCGCTTCATGTCCTACACCGTCCACTTAACTCTTGTGTTGCAAACACTTTTTCTTGTGTTACCAACCGGGCCACTCACTCTTAGGGTCATCAAGCTCACAGTCAATTCCTATCTCGCCTCTCCAATGAGTGAACAAGTTTCTATTCGGGTCCAGGACTGTAATAGGCCCTTGACCATTCTGGACCGTATGGATCGCGATACCTTGGATAGACTTGTTGAGGTGATGCAATTCTATCGCATTGATGAGACACGAGTGTCTGAACTTCGGGAAATTATTCGCCCTGCGGGTTTATTATTGGACGGACCAAGTGATATCGAGGAGTGGTAGCATTCGGGTGTTTTTTTCGTGGGTGGTTTTGCACATGAGCGTGTCTGGGTATCGATACCATTGAAGCTAGTGTTCGCTTGTGCTACTATGTGACTGGATGTATAGTCGATCATAACATTGTAGCGTATGATATACTGTGTTCTATAACTGCATATGAAAGTCTGGCAGTGACACTTTTTCTGTTGCATCTGTTGAGATCTAATCCATAGACCCGTCCATCATCGCTCTTAGCTTCGCAACCTCGACCCGGGGAATGACATCGATTTCGAATGGCGCTGCATGGGGAGTGACCGTATCATCGAAAGCGTGCGTGTTGATCGGTGCGTCAGGTCGTTGAACAATGCGAAAAGACCACAAGAGAAGTGCGAGTGTAATGTACAACGATTGGTTTGCGATGTGCAAGCCGGGACATACGCTTTTAATGACAGATAGACTTCGTTAATTGGTGTCTGAAATCCGACGTCGGCACGACTTACCGTCTACCAAAGCCATACGTTATGAACTTCATATTACTGTCATTAATCCGGCCTTCTGAATCAAGCCAGCGTTGGGGATTGAATGTTTCTGGGTCTGGGAAGACGATAGGATCGCGAGAAATAGTCCTGGAAACATACGCTTAACGGACACAAGATGCATCGTGAAGCAACAGCATACCAATGGCAGCCGTAGACTGTTGCACCCTTGGGAATGCAGTATCCTCGCTGATTGCACGTGTACCAGAATGAGAATATGGATTACAAAAAATAAGACACTGACCCACAAAACATCCTTGGTTGCACGGTGAGGAAATCCTGAGACATATGTCAGCATCGTCCAGGAGCGTGTCGAGATTCTAATTTACCAATGCGGACGATAGGTCTCCATCTCAAAGCTTCTAACAAGAACGCGTGCAATTGAGGGAGGGAGCTTGAGTCGTTAAATGTCGGTGCTACAACGAGAGATTAATTGATAAATCAAAATCTTTGTACCCCTTTGGTTTGGCATTACCTCTGTCCGACCCAATTACCATATCTAGCTCTTCATGCACCTTTGCCTGAGCCAATGGGTGGCATGCCGCAGCCATGATAATAGCTGTAATTCCAATAGCTGTCTGAACCACAAGTAAGTTTGCGGAGATAAATAAGATGCATGGCTTGCCGTATCAG